GCCGCCACCGCCTCTGCTGCCTCCGGCCGGAAGCCGCGACCCCTCGCTCACCCCGCCGTGCCCGGAAGCTCAGCCGCGACGCCTGGGCAACGCGGGGAGGGGGAGGAGGTTGCCTCGGCAACGGAGGGAGGGAGGAGGCGGGCCTTGGCGACCGGGCGAGGCCCTTAGCAACGGAGGGAGGGGGGATGGATGCGGTCCTTGGCAACGGGGCGAGGCCCTTAGCAACGGAGGGAAAAGGGGATGCAGGCCTCGGGGATGGTCGGCCACCCCGCCTTGGTCTTTGCCCCGGTGGGGAGTGGGAAGGAGGACCAGCGGGCAAAGGGCCCCCAAAGCCAGGCAGGTGGAGGCCGGCGAAGCCCTTGGGGCAACTGAGCCGTGGCGGGGGGGGGGCAGGATGATGATGGCCGAGGGCTTCACCCTGCAGCCGAGCAACGGAGGGAAAAGGGGATGCAGGCCTCGGGGATGGCTGGCCAACCCGCCTTGGTCTTTGCCCGGGTGGGGAGTGGGAAGGAGGACCAGCCGGCAAAGGGCCCCCAAAGCCAGGCGGGTGGAGGCTGGCGAAGCCCTTGGGGCAACTGAGCCGCGCAGGGGGCGGGGGGGGGGTCCCTAGGATGATGATGGCCGAGGGCTTCACCCTGGAAAAGGGGATGCAGGCCTCGGGGATGGCTGGCCAACCCGCCTTGGTCTTTGCCCGGGTGGGGAGTGGGAAGGAGGACCAGCCGGCAAAGGGCCCCCAAAGCCAGGCGGGTGGAGGCTGGCGAAGCCCTTGGGGCAACTGAGCCGCGCAGGGGGCGGGGGGGGGGTCCCTAGGATGATGATGGCCGAGGGCTTCACCCTGCAGCCGAGAGAGGATTCTCCTTCCAGCAAGGCGGCGTTTCTCAGCTCTCCTTCCGGATGCAAGAGGAAAGCCATTTGCTTAGAAGCGAAAGGGAGGCCTCTAGGCCAGCCCTAAACATTATTGTCAACCGTCATTCTGGAGGCTGCCCTGAAAGAGATGGGATATGAGCGGAATGAAAGAAAGCCCTTTCCCTCCCACCCTCCACAGAAGCTGCCTCGAGAGAGGGGTCGAACAGCAGAAAAGCAGGGTGAAGGTGAAATAAGTGGGGCCATTTTGCCCCCAAGGGAAAAATTAAAGGGATGTTGTACCTAACGTCTCAAAACACAGATTCTATTCTTTGCCTCAACAGGCCTTTCTGCGGATACGGACAGACGAGAAACAAAACAAAATCACAGAGGATGAGCAGAGGATCTAAAAGTCTTTATTTAGAAACCTCATATTTTCCATTTCTGTCTTCTGGCTCTTTTCCTAGTTGGCTCCCTCCCATTTTCCCATCTCCCCAAGTCTCTGTGTTCTGTTTTGTATTTTCTCTCCATTCTCCTCTGCTCTCAACCATCAGCTCTCAGTTTTCTCCTCTTCCTCTAGGCTGGGTTTTGGCTCTTCTTCTTCTTCTTCTGGGGCGGGTGAATCCGCCTCCACCTCCTGACTTTCCTTCTCAGGCTCTTCTGGTGTGGGGGCCGACTCGTCGGTGAGGGGTGGTTTGCTTGGGGCTCCTTCATCTGAGCTGCTGCTTGTTCCTCCTTCCTTGCTTGGTAGGTCCTGCAAGAAGATCAAGAGACAACAACTCTCAGCATGCGGAACTCCAAAACTCATGCTTAAATAGGGCTGGTACCAACCCAAAAAGTAATGGGTCCAAGTGGACAAAGTCTAGTTTAAAGCCTCTTTTTACAGCAAGGATACCGTCCTAGGAGTTAATCTGGCTTTTAAGCACATATTTAAAACACATGGTTTAAGCACTATGTCTTCCTAGCAGAGAACACTGGAAATACAAAATAGGAGGATAAAAAAAACCTACGTAGTGGGCAGTAAGAGATTTTATAGCCCACCCACCCACATCCATACAGTGGAAAGTGCAAAGCACCTTGGTCGGCCAGGGTCCCTCCAAGCTGGAATCCAGCAGAGAGCTTTCTCCTCCAAAGCTCTCCTCTTCCTCCTGCATGCTGATGAAGATAGTGGGTGTCTCCACCTCAGGCACTTCCTCATGCAAGTCTAGAGAGTCCTCGGCAGGCAATGGGGTTGGTGGGATTGCAGGACGGGCAGGTGGCGGCTGCTGCTGCTGCTTCAGTTTCAGCTTCTGTTCTTCTTCCAGTTGGCGTTTGAGGGCTTTTTCCTGTGCCAAGCGTAGGGCGATCATATCCTGCGACACACGAGGCAGGAGAGGCTGCGGCTCCATTTCTTCCTATAATTGAAATAGAATTCTGTCAAGCTCTGAAAAAAAAAATCTTTCTCTAACTCTTTTCAACGTCTTGTCCAATTTGAGGTGAGGCTCTACAGCCAATTATGCCCACGGTTCTGAAGATAATCTACCCAATGTGCTGGGCCTCTACTTCTCTCCCTAGCATAGAAAAGCTACTCTGTGAACTTAAATCCATAAGGGTCTTTCATTAAGGTCTTCATGTTATAGTGTTTGAATACCATGCCATAGACATATTGTTTATACTTGTAAAAGAACATATTTCACACTAAATTTTTCCCCAATTTTTCTGCTGGGGGGGGGGACAGTATTTTTTTTCTTGGGGTGAAAGTATTCCATGCTGTGTGATCAAGAAAAAGCACTATAAAGAGTCTCTTACCATCTACGGTGGAACTAAAAACTGGAGCTAACCTATCCAACCTCCTACTGTTATCAAATAAATGCAGAAGATCAAGATTTCGCCTGACCTCCCACCCCCAAAGATTCCGTTGTATTGCATTTCCTCTCATTTGCCAATTTTGGGCAAAAAGGGGGTATAGACAGCCTGCCTCGCTCTACATGTGCTTTCTCCTCTACTTTCACAACACTCACAAAACTAGTTCCTCATTATACCTGTTCGCGTTTGCTACTAAACTCACCCAGATTTACTGTAATGAACTGCGACTCTAACCCTTTCCCACCCCTCGCTGGAGCGCTAACCTCTCTCTCTCTTCTCAGTCCTTTGTTCCTTGGTGGGGCAGTGCTCCTCGCCTCCTCCAGGGCCTGCATCTCCTTCCCTTCCAAGTCTTGCTTGTTGCTGGCTTCCAAGATGGCCATCGTAGAATTGGGGACATGAGCTTGCTGGGTGAGAAAAGGAAGAGGGGGAGAGTCATGGCATCGGGCTGGTTAACAATGATCAAGACTGCACTAGTGCGAATGTCACCTTGTTTTCTTAAATCCGGAGAGGAGACAGTAAGGACTGGCCACAACCCTACTCCGGATTAGAGCAGTCTCACTCCCCACCCTGATCTGTTCCAATAACAATATCTGAGTATATGGACCGCAAGCAGAAAACAATCATAAATGAGAGTGAGTAGATTTAAAGTGATTTTTCTGCACACACTGTGCTTTCTGCATGCTCGATGCTTTTCCCAAGGCACCATTTTTTGAGTACCTGATGCGGAGTGAAGGAGCGGACATGGGCCAGAAGAGGCTCCCGCAACTCCGGGCACTTCTCAAAGACGGCGCTGAGCTGCTGGGGAGGCAGCTGGAGGATGACCTGGAAGGACTGAGGCTTGGTGCGCTGGCAGCACTTGATGAAGCCCTCCCACACTTTGGGGTACTTCCACACCTGACAAGGAAGAAGAGAGTTAAAAGACAGAGTTCGCACTCAAAACTTTCACAGTGTTATGACCCCTGGGTAAAAATAATAATAATAATAATAATAATAATAATAATAATAATAATAATAATAATAATAATAATAATAATAATAATAATAATAATAATAATAATAATAATAATAATAATAATAATAATAATAATACAGGGATGTCCTTACTAGGAGAGGTTAGAGTGCACTAAGTTGATCATTTGTTTAATAGAGAAGCGGACAGTTCCCATATACCCCTCGACTTTTCCCTTTAAAAAGGGTTTTTTAAGTCTTCCAAACGGCAAATCCAGCTGGCCCTTTTACATTGTCATTTTGCTTTCCCCACAGAGAGAGGTTTGATAGAATATATCACACTGATGTTGGATATCTGTTTTCCATATGCTCCCCATTTGGGACTTTGTAAGTACAACATGCACAACCTGTGGTTTTACATATTCTTTTCTTACATCTGTTTAAGTTATTATTTTGAAATCTTTTTGAAAAACATATTTGCTAGCTAGCAACTTCCCAATTTTCCTCTCTGTAAGATGGGAAAAAGCCAGCCATGGGATAAAAGCACAGCTGAGAAGATTTGCTAAAGGTCCTCTCATTTGTTACTTGTTTTATTTATAGGCTGCCTCCTTCCCAAGAAGGTGACCCACAGCGGCTCACAATATTAAAAGGAAGAGAATTAAAAATATAATAAGCTAAACATTTAAAAACCCTATTCAACGAGAATTAAAAATATAATAAGCTAAACATTAAAAAAAACCCTATTAAATGATATGCTAATTAAAATACAAGTAAACCTTTAAAACTATCTTAACTCTAAAAAGGCATTCAGGGATTCAATCAGGATTGTTAAAAGCCTGTCTGAAACGATGGGTCTTCAGCTGTTGGCGGAAGGATAAAAGGGAGAGGAAGGGGTCATTCTGATCTCCCGAGGGAGAGCTTCCCATAACCTAGGAGCTGCCACCGAGAAGGCCCTCTCTTGTGTCCCAATCAGCCGCGCCTACGGTGGCCCTGGGACTGAGAGGAGGGCCTCCTCTGATAATCTTAAATGCTGAGAAATACTCTAGAAGAATAAAAATCCCTGCTCAGCTATGCCCAACAGAAGATGTCGGCGGTGGGAATCCCTGTGCAACGAACAGGGAAGGAAAGGCCTCTTCCCGGATCCGCTTCTCACCTGCTTTAGGATGAGGCGGGAAAGAATATTCATGACGAAACCACCCAGGCGCGGATACATGGTCAGTGACTGGATCACAGTCCGCATGAGAAGCATGGGCAGCGGACTCTGTTCCATCAGCTGCTGCATCACCACGGCCAGCACCTCCGACGTGTACACGTTGCGTTCAGCAAAGCATAGATTGGTGGCTGCAGGCAGGGAAACAGAGGGGAGAACAGCTGACCGCAAGGGAAGGGAACAAGAAGGGTCTGAGATGGGGGAAAGGCTGAGAGGTCAACGGTTCCTGGCTCCTTCCGGCCAAAGAGCCACTCCACTGCTCCCTTATCTGGGCAGCCTCCAGGATCCCTCGCAGCTCCTTCCCCACCCCAGATAAAAAAGGAGGGGTGGAAATGTGTCTTTTCTGCTCTCAGAGATCTTGGAGCAACAATTTATACATAAAACAAGTTTAAGGGAGTCCCTAACCTTTTGAAATAAAATTTGTCTGCTTCTCATTTTCACTTTATGAAACCACTTTCCTGGAATGTCTGCAGGTGCCGATAAGGGCCTCCAGGACTGCCAAACACCTGGGGAGCCCTCTTTATCTGCTATTAATAATAATAATAAAAGGAGCAGAAAGTGACTATGCAACATGAGCAAGAGGCACACATACATCAAAGCAGCCTCACCTTTGATAATGGACTTCATGTCACACTTGGTGGAATCTATGCTGTGCAGGGCAATCAACAATTCCCCGGGATTCAGAGGGGAAACGGCAGAATTGCCTTCGCCTGTTGGAAATGAAATAAGAGAATTATCACCGTGTTTCTGGGCAACACCCTCCTCCATGCTTCCAAGGCTTGGGAAGTTCCTCTTTTTAGACTATAACTTCCATTAATCCCACAGCCCACAAGCTAGAGAGGGGACGATGGGAACTAAAATCTCCAAAATAAAACATTTTCTAAGCTCTACCAGTGTCTTAAGACAATTTTAGACAAAATCTTCCAATTATTTTTTTACAGCTCTGCTGATTACTCAGAGGTTCTTTCCCTACCCTCAGCACTCCCTTGTTAGAAGCTGTGAAAATCCAGAAGGCCACAAAAATTCAAGAGCTGCTTGCAGACTGGATACCTACCATGCTGTGTTCCCAGGAGGCGGTTAAAAACCTCTTTCACAACTATGGGGTTCAGCTTGATGAGTTTTGGGAGGGCTTGGATCACCTCTTTCTGAAAAGAAAACAAAGAATGAACTGTAAGGAAGAAGAAGAAAAAAATTCACATCATGCTTGTCATCCATTCCTGGTTAGCTGCCACCAGGGCAGACAGACAATATATTACCGCTGGGAACCCTTCCCTTCTTTCCACACCACCTTCTGTGGAAACCATAACATGAAAATACTCAAGGCCAAAATGACAGCCTGGTTAATTGGGGCAGAAATTACAGATCGAAAACGGGCCTCAGAAAATACCTTTTCCAACCCATTGAGGACAGGAATAAGGAATCGGACATCCGGAAGTCTTTTGTTGTACAGATCTCGAACCCGCTTCACCAGCTCTGGAGACGGAGGAACTGAGCAGACAGAGCCATGTTAGACTGTAGCACACAATACGTTACTCCTAGTGTAAATGTCACCTTCCTCTACAGCAGGGCTTGTAAATTTCAACCCTGGGGCCAAACCCAGCCCCACCAGCTTCCCTAGCTGGCCATGGCCCCTTCTGCATGACGGTATCACCCACGGGGTTCCTAGCGTCTGCTCTGTTTCCCCACCCCACCCCGTTCTAAAAGGTCGGAATGCCTCTCTCTTAAGGTTCAAGGTTGCCACTCAGAGCTGTAAGTAAAAAATACGGTAGTATTTTGGAGCCCCATGCTTTTGCTTCTAGCTCCACCTCTCATTGAAGGAAAATGTGGCTCCCAAAAACTTATTGGAAATCTTGAGCTAAATGGGGTTCCCCTCCTTCGTCTTACAGGACAGGCCAAAGATGGTCACTTAGATGCAGCTGCTGAGAGGAGGAAGGCCAGGGAGAGGATGATGGCGCATCGAGAACTGAGCGGAATTGCCCTCCCGGTACCTTTATCCGTCAGGCTGTGCAGGCAGCGAGTCACCAGGGTCTCTGCGCCCTTGGGGCAGTTTTTAACCAATTTCAGCAGCTCCTGGGAATTCATCCCCATCCCGCGGATCTGAAGGAGATTGGGAAGGGTAGAAACAAAGGAAATGTGAGCTGGGGGGGGGCAGAGTGGAATTTGAGGGAAAAGGGCGATGGCCCCACTCCACCCCAAGCACATAGAGGACACTGCCCGGAAAACTGACCGGCTGCTCAATCACTCGGAGGATCGTGCGCTTGATGTCGGCAATGGCCTCAGTGTAGACGGACGCCAGTTCATGGATCAGCTTGTGGTTCTGGGGCAGGAGAGCCAGGTAAAGGTACAGGCAATGCTTGATGGTCTCTTCTGTCCAGGGAGCAGCCACCTCTGGAAGGCAAGGCGAGACCAGCGTTTTGGGGGAGGAACAGACCAAGCACACACTCAAGCTCAGCCCTAACATGTAGGACCAGTCACATACTTCTAAAAGGACATTTTAGCTGTGACGAGAGTCAATTTGACACGAACTCCCTGGGTTTTATGCGTTTCCTCAATCCCAAGGCATTTATTTTTTTGCTTAAAAAAAGAGGAAGACCAACAAAAAAAGCAGCAAGCAAGCAATACAAGGTGTCTTCCAACTAGCAGCTTCTAAATCTGTAACTTTAGTTCATTACTTTTAAAACAAGTTAAGAAGGATGAATTGTTTTTTTTAGGAAGAAAAACGTTCCCAGTTCTGGAAAACCACAAAGGTCGATTTACCTCGGAGAATTCAGAAAACCAAAGGGACAGCCTTGCCTGAGCTTCAAAGCCTCTCTCTAAAAATACCATTTCTGGAAGCGAGGGGAGGAAAAGGCTACTTCCTAAAAGTCTAGTTCAGTCCAGATTTGCTCCACAGGTGCCAAAATATTTCCACATGCTTTATGTATAAGTGGCAACGGGACTTGCACTCTACCGCAATGTGTCCTTACAGTTATTTTTTGCCAAGCCCTGAGCTGCTTTTTCCTCATTTTATTTACGAATTTGTTCAGCTAGTTCTACGGGGGTCCTCATGAGCTCAGCCCGATTACCTGTATCTTTGTCAGCTCCAAAGAGGACAGAGGGAGGATTCGGATGGACCAGGAGCTGCAAGTAATTCAGTGCAAACTTCTCCACATATTCCCGCAGCTGGTCTTTTTCATACATTCGCTTGATGAACAGCAGTGCTTGCTGGCGCACCTGAGAGGCAGATAAAAGGGGCAAGACCTTAATTCTTTAAGACCCACCGCGTTGAGAGTTGCAAGATCCCATTGAAGTACCCCTGCTTAACTACTGCAGCCCGTGCCGTGTCAAATGGGTTGAATCGGAACACGCGTCGTTTAGGGCCACCAAGGCAGGGGATCTTGCAGCCCTCACCTTGTCTTTCTCGTGGGAGCTGAGGTCCAAGAGAACATGCAGATACTCAAACTGCCTCGCCGGGCGCTTGAAGATCAGGTCCCGAAGAGTCGACATGCCCAGATAAGTGCGGCTCTGAAAGACAGGCAGAAGAAAAGCGCTCGGCAAGCTCAGTGGGTGTTGTGAACGGAGGAGACTCCCTCCCCAAGGCCCCTGCTGGCTTGGTAAAAGTTACACCTTGGATTCACATCTAGAGCCTTGGAATGGGGCAAGCACAGGGTGACTCCACTGACTCCTTTTCCCCATTACAATCCCCTCCAGCCGCTCCCCCACAAAATGCTACACAAGAGGGTTAAGGGTTCAAAATAAGATGGGCATTCCCCCCCAAATCACGGGAATGATGTATCTTCTATAGCAGTAGAAGGAAGGTCCCAGAATCAGCCAGAGCTTAACCAAATTGCCAAGTTCACCCCTGGTGGCGAGCACCAGCATGCCAGGAGAATTCGTTCCTCAAGACCCCGCAAAGCCTTTGCCAACTCAGCCCACTCCAAAAGTGAGAGACTATGACTATGGCTGCCCACAGTCCAGCACTTAAGAAGGGTGGTCATGTTTGAGGGGCGTGACTACAGGAACCGCGTACGGCGTCTCCCCAAGGACATACTTCATCTTCACAGTACTTCCGGATGACTTCCAGGGCGCTCTCCGTGATCAGAGGGGCTTCTAGAACCACCTTGGTGAAGATTCTAAACAGAGAAAATACAGAAAAAAACTCAAGACGCAGCCAAAATCCCAGGTGAAAAAAAAAAGAAGGGGAGAGAGCAGGAAGTAGCCTTGCCATCTTACAACCTGGGCTGCAACCGTTACTTAAGTAAAATATTCTCAACTAAAGAAATGTTGGCAGTTAATCTGGAGCCTATCACGCAAGATTTTTTTTAAATTCAAAGAAGTCTGTTTTTAAGCAGGCCACTTACTATACCTCTATCTTCAGTAAGGTATTCCATGTATGCCCCGTGGGAATGAGTGCTTTTTCTACTAAGAGTGATTTTTCTACCGCCACCAAGACATGAATGCCTCCTTCCCTTTGAACCACAGAGTGCCTTCCATGTGGTATTCCTATCCTAGTCTGATCCTGCTTAGCTTCTGAAATGAGTTGAGATTAGCTATATATTCAAAGCGATACAGCAGTTGCGGTCACCGCTTGTTACTAGAGTACGAGGAGGCCAAGCCTTCACTTTGCTGCTATTGGCTCCCAACTGCAAAGATGTCCAGCAACTGCTGCAGAAGGAGGTCGGCTCAAAACACTAGCTGAGGTTTTTTTTTCTGCCTGTGATTGCTCCTCTTAAGAACATCCACACACCCGTCCTTCTGATCCGGCTTCTCCTGAAGACCGGAAAGCAACCCAATGAGACACTCGTCATAGTTGTTGAGCACGCCGGAGGGGTACTGGCTGAGGTAGGCGTTGTACTCCTGGTACAGCCAAGCAAAAGCAAGGTCCAGACGGTTCCGGGTGTCATCCAGGATGAAGGTGAGGACTTCGCTCTTCAGAGGGACCTCGAACTGGGTCACCAGGGAAGAGAGGATCTTCACCCGAGCCTGCAGAAAGAAATCCGGGTGAGTCAGGAAGGCACTAAACCCCATCAGCACCGACAGTGAAGAGACCAGAACGCACTTACTTGGGCTGCCCCGCTGGAAGCCACGGCTTTCTCCGAGCGCAGGATCCGCTTCACGGCGGCCAGCTTCAGCTTGTCCTTCTGCGCGTTTACGAGAGGCTTGACCACATCACTCAGGCGGAAGATTTTCTTGCGGGCACTGGCCCCAGCCAACCTGAAGGGAAGCGAGGGGGAGGCAGCATTAAGGCTATAGATCTCCAGAGACAGGCGGCTTAAGGCACCGACACTGCCAGGTCCTGGTGAATGTTTGATGTACCCCCTGCATGACTTGAGAAGAAATCCATCTAGTTAAACAATGGAGCTGGAAACATTGTGAGGGCAGTGATCATAAAACCTCAGGCTGCGGGGAACAGAATCTGTAAGAGAAACTCTGGATCAGGTTTACAGACTTGTACAGATTTATCTTGACCCTGGGTTTCCCATGACATCACGTGTATACAGTAAGACTGAGCACCTCAACTGTATACAAGACTGGTGGGATTCTTCTTCTTCTTCTTTTAAAAAGTTTCATAAACTTGCAAGCCACCCAATTCATGCTGTGCACTATTCTGGGCAGTTTACATCAAAGAAAACGATGTAACAGGACAAACAAAAGATATCAAATCATCAAATAAAACCATATAATCGAGAAATCAAGAGAAAACAATACAACTACTGTATACGTAAGACTAAGCAAACCCAAACAATGGCAAAATGATGGTGGTGGGGGAAATGTAGGAAGCTATTTAGTCAACGATGCCCTTAAAGCCTCCTTCACACTGCCTAGTTTTTAACATCCTCTTGAAGGCAGGGAGGGGGCCGGGCACAGCTCCGCTGGGAGCCCATCCCAGAGGAATGGAGCCACAACCGAGAAGGCACGATTTCCTGTGGATGTTTTCCTGGCCTGTTTCGGGGTGGCAACCGAGGGGGCACTGCCTCTGCGGGCTGGGTGGCGCATGGGCTGACGATTTTAGGAAAAGTTGCTCCAATAAGTAGTGAGATCTCTTTATAGGTAAGGACCAAAACCTTGAACCCATCCCGGAATTTATAGGTAAGAACCAAAACCTTGAACCCATCCCGGAACGGCACAGGCAATCAACGCAGACGAGCCAGGACTGGGGAGGTATGATTGAATTTGTTTCCACCGGACCCCAGCCTGACCGCTGCATTCTGCACCCAGTGCCATTTTTTGGGTCCGCCTCATGGGAAGCCCCACATAGAAAGTATTACAGTAGTCATTCTCTGAGAGACCTAGGATTCATCCCTAAAAATGTGGTTACAACTTCCTATTTGAACCTATTCCCATCAAACCCAGGCATATACATCCCATAGACAGCAATCACTTTTTAACTCTCACCTAGGCTGGGTGGAAGGTATGATTGGTTCTGGACGTCGCTTTGCCTGTAGCAGCCCAGACTCTGTCACAGGGGAAGACGTGGAGCTTTGAGCTCCCACCACGGAAATGGCTTGGCCCAGATTGAGTGTGGAGATGCGTCGTTTGATCAGCACACTTTCCGGCTTGGGCATTTTCTCTTCTTTAATCGCTTCCTTGGCCTGTTTGATCTGCTCTACCCCTAAGAGAGGTGGAAAAGGAAAGAGACACAGGTTCCTGATAACTGGACAAAACACATTGTACTCTCCAACCCTATTCATTACACACACACAAAGAGAATTCTCATCCTACTTAAATAGTAATGCCTAATGAAAAGATGAAAATACAGCAAATATCTAGTGGCTTGATTTTATTGCCTGGAAATAACCTATGAATTTCCAGCCCTATTGTGACAATGCAATCACAACGACTTCAGAAACTAATCTGATTGGTTATATTTATGATTGTGTGTGTGCGCGCGCGTCTTCTAAAATAAAACACTGAAGCGTATGATTGTGTGTGTGTGTGTGTGTGCGTGTCTTCTAAAATAAAACACCGAAGCACAAAGGCACCATTTCAAAAGGGCAGACCAGGCCTACAAACACCGATGTCCCATGTTGCAGACTGCAAACCGAAGCACCGAGCGAGGAATACATGAGGCTCCTGCCGGGATCCAGCTCTGCAGACCTACCAGGTCCCAGTCCAGCAGCCGTCATCTGGGTCGCCATGAGCCGGGCGAGATGTTTGATCTGGACTTCAGTGCCGGCGGATTCCACAGGTGTGTAAGTCGCTTGGAAGGACGCAGGCATGTTCTCGGGGAGATAGACCATGCTGATGAGCACCTAAAGACAGAAAGACACAGAGCAGAAGATGAGAGGGGTACTCAGAATGTCACACCCCAGCAGAAAAAGATACAGCTTTCCAAAAACAACAACAACAACCCTGGAATTTGTTCAACCTCCTTTTGTCAAGGCTTTCCAGCCTTGAAGCACATACTGATCCTGCTTCCAGAATATATCCTTTGAATAAGCAGGGAGGTTCTGTCTGTCTGTCTCTCTCTCAGCCCCCACCCCTCGCATTCCAAAATATACTCCTTCACAATCCAGCAAAGCGGCTGACCACGGAGGCACAAATAGCTCTTCCACCAGATAAAACCAGGAACACCCACCAGGTTGGCCACGTTATCCGGAGTCAAGAGGGGTTGGAGGAATTCCGCTGTTATGTCGATGTCCGACTGCATGCTGACTTGAATGGAGGGCTTGGGGGCTGGCGCTGCCACCTGCTCCAGGTCTTTATCTTCATCATCCTCCCCAAGAGCTGGTTCTACATACAGGGGGAGGAACGAAGGGATGAAGAGAGCAAGACCCAATGGGGTGAACAAGTCCACAGCCTCTCCCCCCCCCCAAAAAAAGCCATCCTGGCCCCACGTCGGGCTGTTTACCGAGCTTTATCTTCTTCAGTGCCGGGTCGCCTTCATCCCGCGGGCGCTTGCGCAGCTCTTTCAAGTTGGGCATGTTGCGGGTGATTTCGGCCTGCTGCGTGCCCAGGTCCATCAAGAGGGTGGTGATCTGGGCCTGGAACTCCACAGAGGCCGGGTGCTTCAGGACGCTCAGCAGATGAAGCTTGAGGTTCTTCCGTACGCTGCTCACCTGGGACTTGGCCAGCGTCGGAGGGAGATTGGCTGTCAGGAGGAAAGCCCAAGAAATAAGTTGATAAGGCACACACACATCCCCCAGGTTCTTTTCCGAGAGGAAACATTTTTCAAGCTGGAATCAGAACAGATCCAGGGAAAACCTGGTCCCGTCCTCTGCCTGGATGCTCACCCATGGACCTATAAGTCTGGACCTGGGATCTCTGAGGAATTGCTGGGTTCACTAAAAACTTGCAGAGACAACACAGAAAAATTATAGGGAAATCTCAGGTTACAGGAAGATTTCTCGATTTAATGAGATAAGGATAATATTTACGATCCAGCCCCGATTTGCACCATCAGGAACATGAAAATGGGCCATGGCTTGTTCAGTCTAAATATATCACCAGTTACTAGATGTTGCGAACTGGATATGCTTACCGTGCAGTGTCTCATAGGCCTGGATGACCTCCGACATGAACATGGGCCGCTGGCGGGCGATGGAAGCCAGAGACCCCAGGGCTGCCGTCAGGTTGATGCTGGAGATGGCCGGGTGCACCATGAACTTCAGCAGCTGCTCTAGCGCTGTTTTCCCTTCTTCCCACAGGATGTCTGAGGGGATGGAGTAAGAAAAGCAGAGCAGAAGAAGAGGCATGGATAAGCAAGGTTACTGATGGATTAAACGTACTTATTTCTACCCTGCCTTCCTCCCAAGACTTGGCCTTGTGCAACTAAATACACGGTATAATATTAAAATGGAAATAAATGGAACCTATTAAAAAGAGCCACCAATCTGAGAACAATTTGAAAGGAATTTGGGGAATGATCTGGGCAAAGAAAAGAAAGAAGAAAAAGGAGAGCACTCTCTCCTTCTCACAACCCTCTTCCTCAGCAGCTGGTCTGCAAGTTGCTCTAAGCCTTCTGTAAAAACGAGGCCATGAGTTACTCTCACAAACCCACCAAATGAGCTTTGGACTGTGCGGTGGGATGCACAGAAAGGCCTCCCTGAAAGAGCTCAGAGCTTGGGCGCACCTGGGCCCTACAGATATCTGGACTTACAACTTTAAAAAGCTGCAGACTCTCCCTGCCCCCCCACCCCCTTCCATGCCCTGCCCTGCCTTCTTACTGTATTTGATGTAGGAGTGGTCAGTAGGAACCCGGTCAAGGCTGATGTCATTCTCATGACGCTTGGGTACCTCCGAGTCTGGCATGCGGGGCGAGAGGGTGATGATCAGTGCCTCCACAAATTTGATGGCGTGAGTGCGGATCCCGTCATTGTCAGAGTCCAGCAACTGGATGATTTCGCTGGCCATGGCAGACACCATTTCCCAGCAGGCCTCTTGCATGTCGTTGATCACTCTGGATTTCACCATCCACTGGGTGGGGAGGTGAAGAAAGGCTTGTCATTAGGAGGCGCGATTTCAGAGAGACATAAGACCCAGAGGCAAGTCTCAATGAGAGAAAGAGAACCTCTGAAAGCCTCTGAATAAGAAAATGGAAGCCATGGTGACCTCTACTGCCACCACCCGGGGTATGCGCCTAATCCCAAATGAAAAGGGTCATGTTGCAGATACCGAGTAAAGAAGGAAACTACACTCTTTCCTTAAAGGCACTTAAAAAAAAAACTTTTGATACTCCAGAATTGAGACACAGAACTATAAACACAGGAGATCTGGCTCCTACATGCAGAGAAGGCCCCTCATGACCTGCATTATTGCAGTAGCCAGCAAGATCACACCCTTCTACCCACTCACCTGCAGCGCCACCTTGTACAGCTGAGTCATAGCAAGGATCGCTTTCTTTACCACGTTCACATTCTCATCCCTCAGCAGCATGTTCAGGTTGGCAATGAGCTTGAGCAACAGCTCCGTGTCTCGTTTGCTGGAGGTCAATAGGGACAGCATTAAAGAGATGACTAGCAAGGGGTCTACAAACGGAGACACCCAACAACAGCGAGAGGGTCACACTTTCTCAGCCCCTAGGTGAGAAGGAGGATGTTCATTTATTTAAAATGTTTATATACTACCCAGTGGACAAAGCTGGATTGACTTCTTGTGTGAGGGCATGCCACAAATGGAGAAGCCTCTTTCTCTGGTAGTCACCTGTGGTACCATTACGAGTGGGAGCACTAAGACCTTCTAAGGATTACCTTAATAACTGGGCAGGAGCATATACAAGGAAGTGCACCTTCGGGGAGACTGGTCCTAAACTATTTAGGACCTTAAAAGTTAGCACCAATGCTTTGAATTTTGTAATGGCAAAACAGTGTCTGTCTTACCAGGCTTCTTCTATGAATCCAATGACAAATTTCCGCACCTCAACGGACTTGTCGGCCTGAAAGGCAATGATCTCCTGCAGGGTAAGAGTAAAGAATAGGTCACACCCAACTGTGCCTCCATATCAGCAAGAGAACCGAGAAGGAGCAGCTGTTCCCAGGGAAGGAAGAACCAAAATAGGGCCTGCAACAAAAAGGAAACCATCTAGTTTGAACAATACTCACATCTAAGAAATTATCCAGCAGTGTGGGGTCCTTGTTTATAATCAATTCCTGGACCTGAGAAAGAAAAGGAAAGAAAACTAATATAGCCAAGCCATGACTGAAACCCTCCCCCCCCCGAATAATGCTTTTGAAGTATCTGTTGATACCCTGTGAGCCAACCTCACCCAGAGTTGATTTTATCAACAAAACATATCCAAATACTGAAAACCTTTTTACTTTCTTGATGCATAATAAAAGATGACCAATCCCAGCCAAACAGACTGAATTGACCCAAAAAAACTTAATAGGATTTGCTACTAAGTTTATTAAAGTTTTTACTTAGAAGCTAAACTCATCAAATTCAGTCTGTTTAATTGGGATTGGTCAAGCTTTATGCCCAAATACTTTCGCCTTACACCGTTCTACTAAACAAGATTTTTATGGGACAAAGTTTGGGGATCAAAGCCCCTAAATACAAAACCGGTGGCTTTACTCACCTGTTTGAGGATTGTGATTTTAGATTCATTATTGATTAAGGCTGCCTGGTTTAGCAAATCCACAACCTGTTTTAACCACATAAAAAAACAAATAAATAAAATTATCCACCAAAATGAGGCTTGCCTTTAGACCTAGGTCGTCAACCCCATATCCCAGTCCTGCCAACCCACTTCCTGTCTCCTGGCCTGGGCCTTACCCTCTCCGAAGTGGTCATGGTGTCTATGCCGGCAGCCTCCTCCCCAGTAAAGAACTGGGAAGCGATGCTCATGCGGGAGAGACTTGCATTCGCCATGGTGAGCCACGCTGGAGCTATTCAGCCACCAAAAACCAGTCTGAAAAACTGAAAGAAGCAGCTGACTGTTAGAAGATGCAGCCCCTCCTTTTTCCACCCAAAAGGGCAGTGCCTTCTTCGCAGTGGCACCGACTTTATGGAACCAGCTTCTACAAGAGTTACACCTGGCTCCCTCCCTCCCTGTTGCTGTTTAGAAGGCAACTTAAAACAATGCTTTTTCAGGGAGGCCTTTCACACCGACCCTGGTTGACTGATCACCTCTCTCCAGTGGGAAACTGTCCACTGGCGCCATTTGTTTTTGTTATGCTCTTAGTGTTTTCATGTTACTGCTTACTTGTTTGTTTAATTATATGTTTCAGCCTCTTGTTCAACCGCCCAGCTAGTGCTTCTCCGCCAAGAGGATGGTAAATTAAATTAAAAAAATCAACCAACCAATAACTCTTCGATAGCAAAATTAAGAGAACAGTGGAGGTCCATTAAAGTCACAGGCACGCAAGGGCAGAATTATTTCCCCATTCTTCTTCGCAGGCAGAAATTCAACAAGACCATCATCATACCTCTGAATGGACCATTAGCAGGAGATAATTAATATTTTGGCAATCTTGGGAGCTACGCAGAGCGAATCCTCCTTCTTTCCCCCCCTCCACCCGTTGTCATGGCAACTCCCACCCCAGTCCAGGCTTCCGGTCAACAGCCAGGCCTCCCCTTTGCCCACCCACCCCCTCTTACCGAGGCCTGGCCCAGTTCCCTTCCTTCCTCAGTCCCTTTCTCAGCCTCGGAAAAAAAGACGCTTCTCTTCCCCAAAAGCAGCCATCTTGGCGACGGTCAAGTCCTCTCCATGGTCAGTCACCGTGCGCGGCTGCAAAGCCCGCTGGGTAATGTAGTTTTCCTCTCCCAACACAGGGGGCGCTGCCCAATGTAAGAAAGCGGGCCCAACGCGCACGGCATCCTGGGTAAGGAAACATTGATGTCTTTGGCACGGCGATGACGTGACCCGGCTTCGGCCTATCGAGAAGCGGCCGCTGTTTGCAAGCGCTTGTGGGTAATACGTAGAAGTGTTCCAGGAAGCGCGGTGTGTATACGTTTGCCGTAAAACACCGCGAGGGGTTCTGGGAAATAGAGTCCTTCAAGGCAATTCATTCGCCTCCATTTAAAGCAGAGTTTGGAAGCAGCTGGGCGAGGCTGGCTGTGGTCATCATGACAGACGGGCAGTGGCCTTTTTTAAAGGCATCAGTTAGAAATGCAATAAATAAAATAAAATTATATGCATTCGTGCATAACATCTGTATTTACAGTCGATTCCTGAGAAGGATATTGCCCCTGCGGACAAATGCAAGGATGAATTTAAAAGTGTAGTGCTTGTCATGATATTCATCATCATCACCATCATTATTAAACAGATACGTTTTTTGTTAAAACGTGCATCTGTTATATAATACCAGTCAATGCTTTTATAATTTTGATTGTGCCTGAATAATAATAATAATAATAATAATAATAATAATAAAAAATGCTGTCAAGTCAATTAATGACGACCCCTTTCAGGATTTTCCACCTAGAGGATGTTTAGAAGTGGTTTACCCTTCCTTTCCTCTGATGTCACTCTGCCCAAAGATTCACAGCCTGGCTCTACTTGCAGATGTTTGTTGGATTCCAAATCCCATCCTCCGTCACCATGGTCATGCTGGCTGATGAGAGCTGCAGTCCCATGAAGACCTGGATTGCTGTACTTTACCCACCTTTGATTTAATTTAGCATTCCATTGTGTTGCAACTGCTTCTTTGAAACTTCAGTAGTCGAGAACATGAAAGGGAGAGCAGTCCCCACCACCACATGTGTGTTACCTAGCTACCAGGATCAGGTAGCTTCAGATGTTTTCCGACACCCCCCCCNCAAATCTTCTCCCCTTTCCACCAGCCCTCAGTGTTGGTGAGGGAGGGGGTGAAGTATGGCTTGGGGAGGGAGTGATGGCAGAAAATATTTACTTCTCAAAAATGCTGTTGCTTTAAATCGAATCCCCGTCAAATTCTACAAAAGAAATAGTTCTGAACTGCTAATATGTGTGATTTTTCAAATCCTGCACATTTTTGTCTTTTCTTTTTTTACTCTTGTACATAAAAGGATTTGCTTCTGCCACTCAACATGTGAGGAAAGTAGCTGCAGAGCATGGGGGAGAGATTAAAATATGTGCTTTACCCATGCTGGCGACCTCATTCCGATTTCTGACATTTGAGCTTCCACCTGTCATGACTTTCAAGAAAATCTGGAGCAATGAGGACTAGCGGCCTCCTTTTGAAAATAATAATATGAAGCTGAGATGCATGGGGAAACAAAGTTCTGTGGCCAGCATTTCATTCTGCAATCTCGCCCAGAATTTTTACATATGATGTACACTCCCAAATCGAGGTTGGGAGACTTTAAGGAAGAACAGAGAAACATTTCAAGGTGATCCAGGCGTCGGACTTTTCTTCTGGGCAGTGGAATGGAAAAGTATTCCAATAACTCAAAAGCTTATTTCCCTTTCCTGCTCCTTTTCCTAGGGCTTGGACCCCATCTTTCTGAAGCTGGGAGTTTGGTACCGATGTACAACTTGGATCTTTTTATCCGAGATGCTCTGGTCTGATGTTCTGTGGCTGAGAATCCTTCGCCACCCCCCTGCCCGTTTGACTTTGCCACTCTGGTGGCTTTTAAAAACATGCCCCTTCGCCCGCTAGGAGCCGGTTTCCCAGGAGTTTTCTTTTGTAATGGGATGCGCTGGGCATTGGGTTACAAGCTGCTCCTTGACTGGGATTAGAAGCGTAAAAGGTAATTAGTTAATTGTGCACCCTTTTAGCCGGCTCCTTTTGTGCATCTTCTGGATCTTTAATCCTGAAACCGGTGGCTGGATCAGGCACTCTCCTAACAACGGCGCAGAAACCAGGGAACTGAGAGAGATAAGGGGAGCCCCTTAGGAAATATGATTCATGGTGACAAGGACATGGTGGGGAGGGAGGAGAAAAGGCGCTGAGCAGGATGAGGGGCTCTGGAAGGGACACAGTGCGGACGGGAGAACCATCCGAACCACTGCCTGGGAATCTCTGTTGCAAAAGGGGAAGAGGGCAGCGGCAGAAGGCTCCTTTTGGGAATGACATCTCCCAGAATCCCCTAGGAATCGTGGACCGCTGGATTCTGGGAAAATGTAGTCCAAAAATAACATTGACCTTCCCTGATAGGGCGGAGTCATTTGGGGGCTAATTTGCTGTTCTTTGCTTAGGATGGCACCACGCCACATCCAGTCTCCTCTGATTTCCAACACAAAGCAGGATGAGGCCACCAGGGATCTCCAGATACAGCGCCATAAAAGAAAGAACCTGGCTTCAAACCACAGAGAGCCAGTGCTGCCAGTCAGAGTCGGCAGTATAGGGCTAGGTGGACTAAGAAATTTTGCTTAATTTCTTCTGTTCCGCATGCAATGAGGGACGACCCCTTTTGATGTTTCCCTATGTGGATTCAGCACTTTGGGACCTGGCCACCTTCATGTGGATGTTTGAGACCCAGGGTCCCTCCCTTGCCCCGAAATGCAGAACCAAGGGAAGCTGATGGAAGGAGCGCTTAATCATTGCTATTAACTTTTTTTTAAATTGACCTGGAGGATCAGGTGTCCTGACGGGAGCCCCCACCACTCCTGTAACAGGAGACGCCCATCGTTCTCCTTCAGGTGTTCCCCCATCTCTGACCCTCTCCTCACAGGTACGGCCCCCATCAGATGATTGTCGCCCTCCCCTCCGAAGGGGGTGCGTGGATTGGTCTGGGCTAAATCCCTTACAAGCCCATCTCCATTAGCTTAGCCCTGATGGTTAAATAGCTGAAGCCGAGAGATGCCAAGCGTCTGTTTCCACCCGTTGCCTCCCGGAACCCGGCCGGCAGCAGTATAGCCCACGGAGAGAAGGCAGTTCTCTTCAGGTTGCGAGGCAATGGACGAGACCTGCTCCCCGTATTTTGACAGACCCAGGATTCTCCCCGCGTGGCCCTGCCTTCACAGCGAAGGGACCACCATCTTTGTGTCCCAGATGCAACCTGCAGAGGAGTTGGAGCCCATCGGTCTCCCTGCTCGGGAGAAGACCAATGGCTCTCGGCGCATGGCCGATTTCTCCATCCGTTCCATCTTGGCCTTGGAGGGGTGCAAAAGGGAAAGAGGAAACCTCGAGGAACCCGTAGGAGGCGCTGTGGAGTGGGGCAGGAGCCACCCCCCTTACCCCTGGATCAGCTGCTCCCGTGTCAAGCCCCACTTGGCTCCAAGTAAGGGGGAAGCAGGCAGCTTCAGCAGATCTGGGGTGGGTGGGGTGGGTAAATTCCCCCTATCCACCCATTGCGGGCCTCCTGCCCCCCCCCCACGGCTGAAAGCTGGGTGTCTGTGATTGGGAAGGAAACTCAACTTTGCTGTACACATTGGCAGCCCGTGCCTTGCTTTAAAAAGGCTCCCCCACCTACCCACGGGCACGGATTTTCTTGCATTCCATTGTTTTCATTTCCCCATCTGGCTACTGGAGTGCAACCGTGTGGTTTTACAGCCCCCCCCAATGAAAACCGTGTTGGGGCACTCCATCGGTCCCACAAACCGGTACACTTGAAGTAAAATTTCATCATCAACCCTCCTTCCTCTCGGCAACAAGCCATTGCCAGTACCCCTCCTTTCTCCGTGTAGAAACCCTGGTGTCCACATGCACGCACAGTGCAATTCTTATTAATCTTTTCTGTCTCTCCCTTTTCTTTTCTTTAGAGACCAAGCAGGCAGACAACAGATCTCGGCCAGCCTCTCGCAGTCCCCGGGTGCCCTTCTCACTCTCTCTCTCTCTCTCTCTCCTTTCTTTCCTTTAGAGACCAAGCAGGCAGGCAGCAGATCTCGGCCGGCCTCTCGCAGTCCCCGGGTGCCCTTCTCGGCAACCCAGCTGGGAACTCTGGAGAACAGCTTTCAGCAAACACGGTATCTTAGTACCGGACAAGTGCGGGAGGTCGCTCTGCTGCTGGGACTCACGGAGAACCGGGTAAAGAAAATGCCTTTCCTTTCTGTCCATTCAGGATGAGATTGAAGCCAACAACCGCTTTCTGGGCAAGAAGCTAGCTAAGTTTAGAGCCGTCTGTACCCTCCTGAAAACATCTGATCTGATCAGATTTGAAAAGGTAGATAGGGCTGGGCTAGGTCAATGCAACCACCAGAGAGTCGCAGATACCTCCAGACAGGGCTAGGAAAGGATCCTGTTGGTAAAGGAGACTTATAGCTGCCAACACTCGATTTCACTCAGTGTTAAGGCAGCTTTCTCCATTCCTAGCTGCTAGAACACCTGCTAAAGCATCTGTTTGACCACCCCCCTGGGAGGAGCGGTTTGCTTGTTTACTTGGTATTTTTGTATGTGACCCACCAATAATATTACAGCAAGCTGGCAATACTGGGCCAGAGGGACATGTACCGGTATATACTGGCCCAAAATAACATAGCTTCCTAGGTTGCTACTTGAATTCTAGTGAAAGTTAATGTGATCTTGTCTTGTGAATGAATCAGTTTAGGAGAGTGGTGTAGAGACAGTCTTAAAATGTCCCATTTTACTAAGTCATAGTGCTATTCTGATAGCTTTTCCTAATACCTGCACAGCATGGTCTGACTTGCCTGTAGCCTCAGTGACGGTGTGCAGATTTGTATCGTTGGACTACACCTTCGGCCTTCCCCAGGGAATTCTGGGAGCTGTAGTCCAAAGACACAACTCTCTAGCTTCATGCTGGCTGTGGGATTCTGAGAGTGGTTGTGCAGGGCGGCCAGTATGACCATCTCTGGGTGGGGTGTGGGTAGATAGGAGAGGATTCCTTAACTGCTGAAAACATGAAATAGTCACAGCAGGAGCTTTCTTCCCCTGGCCTGGCTACACATTAACTTGTTTTCCTTTGTGATTGGTCATTGGGAGGTGAACATGGCCTTCATTTGCAAGTCTGATTGCAGCCAGACATGAGAATTTGCTTAATTCATCTCTCTGTAACACGAACGCAATTTCATCACAAATGACGGGCTAGCTATAATGTCTGTTTCAGTTTATTATTATTTCTGTGTCCATGACCAGCAAAAGACATTGAACATAATACGGACTGAATTAATCAGACACTTCACAAAAGACCTGTCACGTCTATTTTGGCCCCCATTAGATAACTGATTGCCTCTTTTTGCTTTTTCTTAGGTCAAAATTTGGTTCCAAAACCGAAGAGCCCGGGAGCGCCGGGATTTGCTGAAGCTGCACCCAAACAGCGGTGCTCGCCTGAAGGGGAGTCCGCTCCCAGTCCAATCCTGTTTAGGCTGGCACGCGTAGCAAAAGCAGGCTGGTGGGGTGAGGGTCGCCTCAGAATCCCCCCCAGGGCCATTATTTTAATCCTCAGGCCCTTGGCCCTAATTTCTGTGACAAATCAGAGATAGATTGCGCTCCGGGGTCCGAGAAGCTACTAAATGAGCGCCAGATGTTCTCCTCCTCCACTACCACCACCATCACTATCCTACATCCATCGTCTCCCTGATTTCAGCCCATCCCATACATTACTTTTCAGTCTTCACCTGGCCTCCTGTACTGACCCCTGCTCTTTCCACACCTGTCCAGGCACCAGTATTTTTCCGCAATTAAAAAGTTGGCAAACCTTGTCCAGTGAGCTGACTCTTCTGTTTTTATCGCTGAAGGTGTGGAAAAGTCACCTCTGGGAGAGTCGCCAGCTGGCCTGATTAAACCCATCACGGCCTATGCTTTATTTTCATCCATGGGTCACACCCCATCTTTGATATGACTAAGATGGCTTAGGGTCCCGAGGGAACAATGTGTTTTATTTCTCTTTAAGCTTTTAAATTTGATTTGCATTTGTACATGACCGATCGTAATATCTGACACAGGGTGGTTTGCTGTGCAGTACTTGGTAAACATGGTAAATAAATTAGTCGTACTTCTCAAGCGACACAGTAATGCAACAGAAAACATTAGCAAGCTATTCCTTTCCAAAACAGACGGAGAGATGCTCTTCTTGGTTGCCTTCCCCCACTTTCCGATCACCCTCATTTCCCCATCACTTGAATATTAACTGTCATTTATTCTTGATAAAGAACAGGATTCCTACTTCTGTTAATATAGTGTCGCCTTGTGGCGAGCAGAGGAATAGAAGCCGTCATTTTCCGTCACTGATTTTTAAGATCTAGGAAGCTCTAGCTTAACTTGGGGCCAAATACTGAGAACGGCATCTTATAAACTAATTTTGTTTCTCTGTTTTTTCCCAACCGACCATCCAGTACAACTCTGAGGCTTACACCAAACAGTTAACTGAAAAATTAAGGCAGGCCGTTTGCAAACTATATACATTTGAGCTTTTATTTTATTTTTTGGAATTCACAATAGGGTGGTATATATTAATTGAAACAACAATAACAACCCACAGGGATCTTGTTCAAGAAAGATTGCTTTCTTGGACTGCATGTTCCAGAATCCTCAGACAGCGTGCAATTCGTTCAGAAGTACCAAGACTCAAAAATGTTATTTTTAAAGTCTGGATGGCCGAGCGAATTCTGGAACCTGTCGTTCAAGAAAGTAAATTTCTATCCTCTGACATCCTGAGAGCTAACAGGTGGTTTCAACATGCGAAAAGGCAGGGAGAGCAGTTTTGTGAGATCTACCTTGCTTTTTCCTGGCCCTCTCCCAGGTATATAACCACATGCAAAAGTGTGTCTAGACAGCCAGATGCAATGAGAGAGAAGGAGAAAAAAATATGCACAGTGTTCTCATGAGCCATAGACTGAGATGACCTGTATATATTTTCATTTTAAGATGTTTGGTGTGCTGCTTCAGCCCCAAGGTCCACTGAAATGGATTCATATAAAATATACACATATACAAGAAAACCCAATTAAAATACAATAAAATGTAAACCAGAACAAGGTAAGTACAAACTTGTCCAACGTACTAGTGCAAAGTTGTTTTGCTCCATCTTACTTAATAATAGCTCGCTGGTCTTCAGGCAAGGAAAAGCTTCCTAACTGTTAGAGTGGTACAACAACGGGACCCACAATCTCAGGGGGAGGCGGTGAACGCTCCAACACTGGAGGCAAGGAAGGGTCTTTCTTTACTTTATTACCCATTACTTGAGGCAGAGAAGGACATGATTAGCCCATAATGGCAGCCACGGCAGAATATTTTTGCTTGCTACCACTACCTGGTCAGAAATTTGAAACCACTGCCCACAAATCCTGTCCCTGCCGGTTTCATTAAAGGCTAAATCGTTTGCATGAAGCTAAAGAGAGACACGAGTTGTTTTGCAAACAGCATCGGGGCTACAGCAAGGTTTCCCCTCCGTCTAAAGGGGCTGCCCCTTTTTTCCTGAGAATTTTGGTTTAACCTTTTGGCCCCGGTGGTCTCCAGAGCGAAAGCAAACAAGGAGAGGGAGCCCTACAGATTTGAGTCCAAAGTTTCCTCCTGTGAAATCTACCTGAGGTCACGAGGGGAGGCAGATCTTACTCCCTTAACACGGTCCGTTCCTGGGAGCAGAGCCGTGTGGCCTCCATTTGAAGGGTGCCCGTGAAATCGCAGAACCATCAAATCCAACCCCTTGCTCAAGGCAGGAATACAAATCAAAGGGTATCTGCCAAGTGGCTGTCTAAATTTCTCTGGAATGCCTCCAGTGTTGGAGCATTCATGACCTCCCCCTAAGATCATTGGTGCCATTGTTGTACTGCTCTAACAGTTAGGAAGTTTTTCCTGATATTTGTTTGTTGACACCCTTTTAAAAGTCTGGTATCCAGAACTGAACACAGAACTCTAGATGAGGCCTAATCATTGCTGAATAGAGGAGAACTCGTACCTCATAAGATTCGGAGACTATATTTCTCTTCATGCATCGTAAAATCGCATTTGCCTTTTTTTGCAACCACATTTATTTATTTATTTTATTTACTTATAAATGTATATATATATAAATGGCTCATACTCAACTTACGATCTAAGAAATCATGTATAACTGAAATTCCAGCGATTTCGGTGGGTCTGCTCTAAGTAATGGCCACACCTGGATTTCTAAGTAATGGCCACACCTGGATTTCAGCCTTTGTTATCCTCCCAAAGCAACACGGATCCAGCCTCTGGACAGAAGCTGAAACAGGTAGATGGTGTTATTGATCCCACTTCTCACCATTGGGAATACCTTTGAAAATTGCACAAGGAATGGTACCTCCATGGTTAATTTCACCCTCAGGCTTCATCTCATCCCAGTGTCAAGGCCCACCTAAGTGGCACCTTTCCACTCCACTAACCACAATGGCCACCAACTGGTTGAGCACTGGCAAAGGATCCGATCCATTTCTTGTTGGGTACAGGATCCCTTTCCTCAGTACAGGTTGCCCTGCACCCACTCAAAAACAAAGAGGGAGCTCATTCTTTCAGTTCAAAACAGCAAAGCAAGTTACCCTCTCCAAACGGACTTCCCCAGCAGGTTGAAATAACAGACGGTGTATGATTAATACACAGCTCATTTCAAAACATAGTGTACTAAAGTTAGCCCCTCTTCCCCCCCCCTCCCAATCAATGGTTTAACCTCTTTTAGGCCAGCGCTAAAATATTGGTTTTGGCTGGACACACAGATAGGGCTTGTTTTTTTCATGCGCTGTTTGTCATGTAGGCTGTTGGTCTTCCTGGAAGGAACAGTGTGGAATTACCATAACGTGTTGGATGATTGGTTGGGGGGGGCGGGTTGATTGATCAATGCCCTGAGATGGGAGGGAAAAGTCCAATGCACCTGCGGCAGAAAATAGAACATCGGTCCGCCATCTGATCAATAGGAACCGTCGGAGTGAAGTTTGTTGAGTAATTGCTATGGAAATAGGACTACGGATGATCGGGAACAGAGTGTCCAGAACTGAAGCAACATCCGAGGTTACTCAAGCCCGAGGAACGACTGCCCCCCCTTTTTCACAGGATATGCTTTGCATTTCCTTTACCCAGATTTGAAGGGGGCATTGTGCCAAGGCTGTTGATGGGTGGAGGTGAAGAGGGCCTTGCCTCTTCTAGGTCCAGCCAGCCCACAAACATCTGCCTCCTGAGTCGACATGGAGAATACAGGCAATACTTTGCCTGTATTGCCCTCTTGTTATGTACCTGGGCTAATCCTGCTTGCTTCTTTCCCTATGAATGCCCACCTTCGCCCATAGTTCTGCGACCGCTTTGGATTCTCCTTCCTGCCCACAACCAGACGTGGTCACCAGCCACCATTGGCATCTAGACGAAGCTGGACGTGAGGGAGTAGACATGCATTTATATGCTTCTATACTGACCTTTCCCGGGACATTCCACTGAAGTTTCGAGACAAAGGGACAGGAGTCCATGGATCCAATTAGCTGAAAAAATTGGAGGACCCCCCTCCCCAAAAGCAGCCAGGTTGGCTTATTACACCTTGAAATAAGCAAAGTAAGGAATATTTCCTACAAAACACACCCAAATAACCGAAGTGTGTTATTGTTTGCAGAATTTAAAAGAACAAGAGAAGTTGCACGGAGCAACGCGTAAGAAGGAAGAGCGGATGGAAATCCAGACGTAAAATAACAAGTAAACCAAACTAAACAATTTAAGGGAGACTGAAAAGCATTTGGAAAGAAAAAGGAATTTATTTGGTGTCAGAATCGCAGTAAAGGACTTCATAAGGAACATTGTATTAGTACGTTTCGGATGGAGTCCACGCGTGTCTCTCATCGGTTTACGACTTCACTGCTAGGTGAAACCCCCCTTGTATTATTTCCTCCTGAGAATCTCTCTCCTACAAAGTTAGGAGGTTAAAAACAGAGAGGCCACTCAGTAAACAAACCAGAGAAAATAATATTTGTAGGGCTTCCCACCCGTGTGCGTTTTAAATTTTTTAACCAAAGTCGTGGGACAGATTTACTTTTTGAGACCGTTAGGGGGCGGCCCTTCCCCACCGGGCTGGAGATTCAACCCGGAATATTATACAGCTTCAGAAGAAGGGTGCTATGGTTAAGATATTCCCCCGATGGGTACCACTCCAGGAGCGCTGGTTGGCGCTCAAACAGAGAAGACGCCACAGGTTATTCTTCGGGGAAAGAGCCAAGGTTAAGCCTGAACTTTGATGTTTTAACATTGCAGCTGTTTACTTCATTGTCATACTCCTTTATTAGCCATTTTGAAACATCTTCGGAGTAGGAAGTGACCTAAAAATGCAAAACAAATAAATAAAAAGGAGATATACATAGATTTCCAGAGTCTTTGCTTGGTGATCTGTTTCCTACAGAACTGATCGCACATTTTCGCTCAGTTCCTAGAATGCCGTGACAAGGTCT